AGTCTGCTCTGATTGGCCAGCTGACCCAGTGCATTGTGATTGGCCGAACACCACAAGCACGTGTCGGAAATGTCGGAAACCATAATCGTGAGTAGGGATGGGCGATACCCCTTATTTTGTTTTCGATACCATACCGATATTTTTCAAGGCAGTATCGTCGATATCGATACCGATTCGATACTTCTGTACTAAACTTTTAAATTATGAAATTTATAAAATTATTAAATTACTAAGAGTAAAATGGGTAATGAAAACCACTTAACTTTGTTTAAAACGCATTTTAACCCGTTTAATCCCAACATTTTCCCAGACATGAAAATATCCAAATGATGTGTCATTAGTAACCCTTTGAAATAATCAATAATTTTTTTTTTTTTTTGAAAAGTGTGTGAAAAGTTGTATTTTATGGTCAGTCACAATTGTAACCGGTGGGATAATGTGTATACTGAATTAACATATTTCTGCAGTCTTAAAAATTGTTATATATCTTAGCCCAGCTATTTTAAACTGTTTGATCACATTCTAGGGTTACTATTATGCATAAAAAACCCTTATACAACATTGATAGGAATACTGAGATCAAATACAAAAAAATACAATTCAGATGAGCAGGAAAATAGTTCTATCCTACACAATTACTCGCTAACAAAGGTTATTCGTCCAATTCAATGGATATTGTACGCATTATTATTATTATTATTGGTAAATAAACAAAACCACTGGTAAATAAAATGCACCTTAGTATCGTAATATAACTCCGACTGGATTCGTCTGAAAGAAGAAAGTCATATACACCTAGGATGCCTTGGGGGTGAGTAAAACGCAGCCTAATTTTCATTTTTGGGTGAACTAACCCTTTAAGACAGCTGACGTGCTATGATTTCTGACAGGCTGTTCACTCTGCTATGATGTGACACTGTTCCCCTCTCTCACACACACATACACACACACACGACGCGTTACTCTACGCTGCGCAAAACTCCGCACAGCCAGCCTCGTACTCTCCTAGGTTCACAAAACTCGTCCATAAAATGCGTTGCACAAATTCGAACATCTGGGTTGTGCTGTTCTGTTGTAAACACTACTTTCGGAAGGCCAAATAAAGTGCTTTTGCTTTCGCACAGAAACACACTGCGTCTCCCTTACATGGCTGCATCAACACTACTGCGGTTCCTGAAACCACGCCTTCTTTCTTTGCATGAACATTTGGATGGCATTACGCAAATATTTCCACATTGTGACGTAGACATGAGTGGGCGTGTTAGAACGAGGCGTTTTAGCCCGGTCTGGATCAGCCTTGTCTTTTAGATAGAATAAATCCTTTTGTGGGAGACTTTGAGCTTTGTAACTCTGCAGATTATATACATGCACAAACAGCTACATAACACATTAAAGAAAAGGAAAAATAGAAATCGCATCATATGACCCCCTTAATAACTGAAATTATTCTGGTCTAGTATGACAGTATAAAGCTGTATTGTGGAGAAAAGGAGATCCCCTTGAATTTCAGAGTAACTAGTGAAAAGCCTCTGTTGTATTTGCTGCTCACATGGATATCTGTATGATTAAAATGGTTTCCACAGGACACCAGCAGACGTTATGAAAATAAGGCTGGTACCTTTATCACTGGAATCGATGTCACATCTAAGGTAAGTGTCAGCTGGTTGTGTGAATATATCAGTCTGTCTACTAATGTACTTGTTGTTCACAACATTTGTACTTGTTCAGGAGGCCATTGAGAAAAAGGAGAAGCGAGCAAGAAGATTTCATTTTCACGCAGAAGAAAATCTGGCTCCGAGAAATGTTGTTCTAGACCGGGATATGTTGAAGAAAGGTAAGAATTCTTACACAGCTATAGCTCAAAATTTGATTTCAAGTCAGCATGAAATTAAAATTCACCTGTATGTTTTCTAAATGCATATTATAGATCATATTGTGAACAATTCATCCATGTTTTCATTTATAAAAAAGTGCTTTGACCTTGTAATGTTTAATCAAAATGCATTGACTGGGCTTTTCCAGTGAATATATTAGACTTGTCTTTGGTGACATTTGCAGGACTTCTCCGATCATTTAGTCCCCTTAAACCTGTACTTGCAATCTCACGTTCATCTGCCTGCACTTTTGAGGAAACCCTTACATCTTAAAGGGGTCATATGATGTTGCTAAAAATAACATTATTTTGTGTATTTGGTGTAATGAAATGTGTTTATGCGGTTTAAGGTTAAAAAAACACATTATTTTCCACATACTGTACATTATTGTTTCTCCTCTATGCCCCGCCTTTCTGAAACGCGTCGATTTTTACAAAGCTCATCGGTCTGAAAAGCAAGGTGTGCTGTGATTGGCCACCTATCCAGTGCGTTATGATTGGCCGAATACCTCAAGCGTGTGATGGAAATGTTACGCCCCTACCATACTGTGATGATACCCTTAAGGCCGGAGCGATGATTCAAAAACATGAAAACCCATTATAAACGAGGCATTCGTTGCATCCAGTGGGGACATAATTATGGATTACAGATCTTCTTTATGCACCAAGAGCTTGTAACACTCCAAAGAGAAAGGAAAAATTTAAATCGCATCATATGACCATTTTAAAATCCGGTCAACAACAATGTCCAGCCTATATTTTTCGTTTTCAATAGTCCGTTATACTCGGATGTACATAACACAGAAGAAAAAAGTTGTGGCTCCTTCAGTTTAATCATGGCTTCCAACCCATTTCAGTTTTTGCATTGTCCGAAATAGTAGTTAACCTATGATGTTTCTCTTGAAATCTTGTGACTTTTTCTCATTTATGAGCATTCGTGAAAAGTGTTGACACTCAGATGTGTTGTGA